ACGATTCCTGCCCGGTCAGAGCCAGACCCCCCGTTTGCAGACCCTGCCCCCCACCCCGGAAAGCAGTTGGCTGACTCTCGGCCTCCCCCCAGGAATTTTAGGAAATGTTTTCTTCTTTCCCTTAGATCTTCAGCCCATGTCACTTGGAACCCACATTTCCTGACACTTGCTGAGTGCAAAGCAAAAAGAACCAGCCCCAGTCCCTTCTGAGTCCTGGGTCGAGCTCTGGCTAACTGTGTGGCCTTGGTCAATTTCCTTCATCTCACCGAGTCTCAGTTTCTTCCCCCAGAAAAGGGGGGTGATGAGCACCTGCCACCCCCTGTCGTGGGAGGAGGAAGGACGAGGGGGCTGCAGAGGCTGGGCCCAGCGCCTGGCTCACAGAAGCCACCTGATGCGTGGTGACCATGACTGTTCTTGCAGGGCACTGAGAAAAGCACCCCAGTGGGGACTCCTGCAAGACCCCATTGCCCAGGGCACAGCTGTATCCTGTGCTCCGGTTCATCCTCTGTCCTCCCTATCCTTCCTGTTGCAGATGAACTAACCACCAGCAATTGGAGTACAGGGCAAAGGCCACCTCCTCCCAGAAGCCATCCTGGGTTACCACAGATGTGACTATCCATCCCTGGATCCCTGCAGCACGTTTCCTGCCCCTCTTAGCCACCTGGCAGGAGAGCTGTGTGGCACAACTGCTTGGCTCATTTGGCCATATCTGCCCTGGGTCACCTTTCCCCCAGTGCTCGGCTCAGATCCTCCATAGAGGTGAGTCAACCCAAAACCTGGCTATGTGTTGGGGAGCAGGAACCTTACACAGATAACGCCCCACCTCCACCAGTGGAGCCCTCTCCCTGAGGCCTACATCGCAGGCACCCAGGGCGCTGGCGAAGCCCCCGGCCTCACCTCCTGGTGGCGGACCATGCTGTCGACGCGGGCCTTCTCCTTGTCCAGCTCTGTGCTGGCCCAGCGAATCTGCTGGCTCGCCCCGTCCAGCCTCCCGGCCAGCAGCTGCACCTGCTCCTCCAGCTGCTGCACCTGCCTCTCGGCCTCCAGCCTGCGCTCGGCCTCCTCCTGCAGCTGCTGGGCCTTGGCCTCTGCAGGATGGAGCGGGCGCAGGAAAGGACAGGGCAGGCGAGTCCTGGGTGCGAGTCCTGGCCCTGCCTCGGAGCCAGGATAGGACTGGGGGTGAATGTGTCACAGCACGTCCTTGGGTCTGTGTCATTGGCCACAACATGGTGCTTGAACCCCACCTGAGGTGGGTTCTGAAAACAGAAGTGGCCCCCCAGTCCGGGTCACTACCCAGCAGTGTGGTCGCTCAGGCCCGCCTGCCTCTGCTGCTCCCTTCACCTTGGCCCCAGGAGCCCAGGGGACAGAGATGGAGGGCGCTCGTGCTGCACCACCGAGCACGGGGCACGGGGCACACGTCAGGGCTCCTCACCCACGGCCTGTGTGGACTCCTGCTGCTCCTTCAGCTCCCCCTCCAGGGCAGCCACCTTCCTCTTGAGCTCACTTGTTTCTGTGCAGCCAAGAGAGAGTCCCCTCAGAGGTCCCCTCAGATGCTGGCTGGTGGCCGGCATGCCCGGTGCCCCCTAGAGAGTGGTGGCAGCCATCGCCCTGCGGAGGCGCCTCCTGGGCTGGAGGGTGAGCTCCGGGAGGTCGGGAAGCCTGGTCCCCGTCCGCCCTGCCTCCCGCTGGCTGGCTGCCCCGTCTCTACCTCCCTGGGCCTGTGTCCTCCATGGAGGCAACGCGGGGCTCAGAGAGACCAGGGACTCGCCCACCTCCCTCCGGCCTCCCGTTAGCGGGCACTGGCTGACTTCCAGCGGCCGCGTCTCTGCCTAATGGCTTTTGCCAAAGCCAGAGGCCACCCTGCTGGCTAGAGGTGCCAGGGGGCAAACTCCCCAGGAGTCACCTTCGGGGACCAGCAGGAGCTGGTGAATGCCCCGCTCCCTCGCCCCTCGGAGGGGACAGCTCTGGGATATGTGCTCTGCCCTGGCTCCAGTGTCCCAGTGGGCTTGTGCTCCAGCTGCCTGGGTGGAACTGGCCTGATGACTGTACCTTTTTGGCTGCCTTCCTGCCCTGCTTAGGGCTCACTCCCCAGCCAGGGTTCCTTCCACCCCCACTACTTGTCCAGCAGCCCTGATGCAGGGTCTGCTACGGGAAGAGCCCACGCTAAGGCTGCAGCAGAGCCGCAGGGAGGGCTCCCCGGAGGAAGTGGCACGAGGGCCCGGCCTCTGGGGCACAGACCTGCGAGCAGTTGCTGCTTGTCCTGCTCCCACTGAGCCAGCTGCTGCTGGGCCTCGTTCGCCTGCCACCGCCGCTGCCTCTGCTCCTGCTGCAGCGCCTGCTCCAGCTGGCCCACCTGCTCCCGCAGCCCGCCCTTCTGCTCCTCGGCCTCCTCCAGCTGGGCCCGGAGGGGCCCCACCAGCTGCGTGAGGGCGCCCACATGCTTGCTGAGCCGGGCCAGGTCTCTGCTCTGTTCTGCCGCCCAGTGGCCCACAGTGGCAGCCGGCAGTGGCTTGAGCCCCATGGTGTCCTGCACCAGCTGCTGAAAGTGGCCTAAGGACGAGGGCAGGTTCTGGCTCTGACACAGGCCGATGAGCGCCCTGCCCACCTCCCGCAGGCTGCCCTGCACGCTGGCGCACGCGTCGCAGGGCACCAGGGCGGTCTCCACCGTCTGCGAGGGGACGCTCCGGGTGCTCTCCGTGGTCCTGGCGGGAGAGTGCAGGGAGACGCGCACGGAGAGGCTGCCGGGTTCTTTGCAGGTCTGGGGCAGGCCTGGAATTGGGGAGGGGGGCTTGATGAACTTGGCGGTCACAAACTCGGGGCTCCTGGCGGGCTCGCCCTTGGCTGTGGGCTTGCAGATGGGGGTCTCCCCTTGGGCTGCCCTTTTCTGTGTTCAGGAAAAGAAAGGGAAAGCAGGTGAGTGGGGGGGACAGGCCTGGGAGGAGACCGCTTCCCTGGGGGTTTCTGTGATAGCGTCGCCTGAGGCTCAAACCCTCAGATGTTGCTGAACACCCACGTGAACGAAAGAACCTTTTTCTGTCTTCCCGCTGCCGCGAGTCACTAAGCCCAGGCAGCCTCCTTGCTGCTCCCCCACCCCCGGCTCATGACACTGGGAGAGGGACAGTGACAGGCACAGGGCCGGGTGCTGGGCTCTCTCCTAGTGGACATGACTGCTCTCGTGCCCCTGCGGCCCCTCGGTTTCGTTCCTCTCCCATCGGGGCGACAGTGGTCCTTCCCACTGGGTGGTTGTGAGGATGACGGGCTAACCCGTCACAAACGGTGCTCATACGAACACTGTCACCCAACAATGCCCTGAGAGGTGGGGACTGCCGTTGCTCCCATTGTACAGGTGAACACACTGAGGTTCAGAGGAGGCAGCGTTTTTCCAAAGTCCCGCAGGGTCAAGAGCAGAGCCCGGTAGCCCAGACGTGTCCCCGAGGCCTGTGCTGTAACACAAGGTCTTGACTGGGCGGCTCTGGAGTTGACACCCTCCCTCAGCAGGGTGGAGCCAGGAGCGGGCACGGGGCACGTGCGGTGTGCCAGGCCAGGAAGCCGGGGCAGGTGGGCTGGTGTGAGGGTGACCACGGTTGGGGAATGGGGGGGTAGCTGACCCACCTGGGGGAGCATCTGCTGGTAGAGCATGCCCAGCTTCAGCAGGCTGTTCCAGAAGCGCCGTACCGTGAGCCCCACGGACATGCAGGGCCCCACAGCCCTGGCAGGGGGCACTGTCTGCTCCGAACTGAGGGTCTCCAAGTAGCTGGCACAGCTCTGAAGCAGCAGCAGGAGCCTGTGGGCAGGGACAGCAGGGTCAGCGGGGGCAGCGCCCAGTGCCAGGGCGCCCTCCTGCCATCCAGTCGGCAGCCTCTGGCTCTGGGGAACCGGCCCAGGCATCAGGGCCTGGCGCGTCTCAGAACATGCTCTGCCAGGGAGCCAGGGAGGCTCTGGCTAACTCAGCAGGAGGTGGGCAGAGGGAGGAGGAACGGGGTGGGAAGACATGTCTGTCCGCAGCAGCGTCACAGCGGGGGACGCGTACACGGGAGCTGGATGGACGAGGGGAGCTGAGCAGACCAGCGAGGAGTGGGCAGAGCAGTCCTGAAAGAGGGCACAGTGTGTGCACAGCTGCAGCGGGAGGAAGGGGTGCTCTGTGCTTACACATTCAGCCCCTCACGGGCTCCAGATGGCGCTCGGACACCAAGGGCTCCCCCAGGCCTCTGGGTAGTACCCTGGCTTCTTGGTCCCAGGCCGGCCATCCCCCAGCTGCTGGGGTCCCTGCTTGACGGGCCCCCATGACTTCATTAGCGTGCAAGGTTTCAGAGCAGGGGGAACAGGAAGGGAAAGCTAAGGACCACGTTAATGTTAATACAGTGGGGCCTTGACTTACGAGTGTCCCGACTAATGAGTTTTTTGAGATACCAGCTGTCTCTCAGCCGATTTTTTGCTTTGAGTTGACAGAGTAATTTGAGTTAACGAGCTCGGTCTCTGAACAAATTAAACTCGTAAGTCAAGGCCCCACTGTAATAGCATCGAAGTGGCGGGTGTGTTTGTGTGTGGAGGAATCCACTGGCCTCTTCCCAGCAGGGCCAGGGTTTGGAAAAACACACCCATGTCTGGCCCCAAGACACAGCCCACAAGTGGGAACAGCACAGCCCACAGATGCTGGATAGAAACTCTGAACGGCAGCTGTGGTGTCCCCAACGCACAGAAACCCCGAGGAGGCAGCTGGAAGCAGCCAGAGAGGCCGTGGTCAGAGCCGGGAGCCACAGAGCCCAGCAGGGCAGCCAGCAACTCCCCGAGGGCAGGCAGGAGAGGACAGCACAGCCCCCGGCACAGGTGGGACCACGTGAGGGCCCTGAGCTGACCTGGCCCCCAACGGTACTCAGAGGTGATGGTTGCTACCGGGGGGTTCCCATGGCTGCTACTGGCTTAAGGGGCAGGTATCAGCACCCCAAGAACACCAGGTTGGTCAGGGCCCTCACCTGTCAATGACCAGCTCCAAGAGCACGGCGTGAGACAGCTGTGTGAACTCCGGGTCCCCCGGCACGTGGTCATAGTGCTCTAGCAGGGCCACCATGTCCAGGTCACAGGCCACATGGTCCGGAAACTTCCAGGAGGGGAAGCGCACGGGTCCAGCTCGGGAAAAGACGTCTACGATGGTGCCCTGCAGGTCGGTGAGGTCCTTGCGCAGGCTGTCCATGCAGGCCTGGCTGCCCAGCAGGTGAGCCATCCTCAGGGCTCCTGGGATGGGCAGAGAGGAGCCCCATTAGCCAGAGCCATGTGGCTGCTGCTAGAGGAACCTTCCTCAGGCCCCTGTCTGCCCAGAGGCTCCAGGCCCAGACCCTCGGAGGCCTTTACAGGTGTCTATAAGTAAAGCGCTTGGTTCAGATAAGACACCAGTAAAAGTTCCCCATCAATAGTAGTTATGACTATTGTGATTACATTGTTAGCGCAACAACAGCAAAGGCCATCCTTGTCTGGGGCAGCTGTCTGCCTGCTACATCTCCCCTCTGTCCCTGCGGCCCACACAGAACGCTGCTTGTCCATCTTCAGAGTCTGTGGACCTGTGATCTGGGTGAACTGTGTTCATGGCCTGCGATTCAGAAGGTGGGCAAGCGACACTGTTCTCGCCCCTCCCGTGGCTCCTCCCATGCCCCCGGCAGGTGCTGTCAGAGCCAGCGCTCTGTTCAGAGCTGGGCAGCCCCATGGATGCTGAGCCCTGGCCCTTCCCCACCCTGTAAGGGGGGGGGGGGGCTTGTCTTTGTGGATTTCTCAGCAGCAGAAAGTCCGGACACTAGCTGGGAAACCTGTCTTCCTCCGACCTACCAGGTGCACCGGTTACTAATGCGGATTTTTTTCAATAGATGGAGTTACACATATGTTGATTTATATGCGATTTGATCTGTATGTGATTTTGTTGTATTGACAACAAGCTTCAAAACTTGATATGTCAAATTTTCTTAAGGTGTTAACATCATAGATATTTTTACTCTTAAAAATGTCGAATTTCGTGACAAAAAAAGAGCATTGCCAGGCTGCGTCTGGAGCAACTCTGTGCAGAGGAAATAGGATGCAAGTCACAGATGAAATTTTCCATTTCTTACCAGCCGCACGAAAAAGAGTAAAGTGAGACAGGTGAATCAAATTTAACAATATATGTAACCCAGTATGCTCAAAATAGTATCACTCAAGCATGAAATATAAAATTAAGGTTTTTTTTGGTGTTGTTGTGGGTTTTTTTTTGCATCAAGTCTCAAAATCCAATATCCATTTGACACTTAAAAGTACATATCCAATTGGACCAACCACTGTTTTCAAGTGCACCCCCACAGGGGCTGGCGACTACCGTCTTGGACAGGGTAGGTGTGGAGGGCCAGATCCTGTGTGTTTATTCAGCACGCGATGACTGAGTGCCTACTATGTGCTGGGCACGGGGTACAGGGAACCCCGTCTGAGAGGAACCACAATCTATGTCAAGAGGGTCTCTGCCGGGGGGCAAGTCCTGGGTGTGTCAGCTGTGTCAGTCCCCCCCACAGGGCAAAGAGTATCCACCCCCCAACACTCACGTCCGCACACAAACACACACAGGCCCACGGGCCTCACACGTATGTTGCTTCGGTGATTGCCTCTCGTGAGATATTGCCGCTCATGGGATTTTATGTCCCCAAAGAACGAGGCAGGAACCAACAGAAAAAAAACAGACACACATCCTGGTTTTCCTTCCCGAAAAGGGAGGACATAAAGCGAGCCAGCGACGCCACGCTGGGAGGAGGCCCTGGAATTCCGGAGCTTGCCCAGATACCAACTCTTGTTAGATGCCGATTCTGATAAGCAGCACAAATGTCAAAGAACAAGGAAAAACAGCTCCGTGTACCCGTGTCGATCACTAGCAACAAGGGAGACGTGCAGGTATGAGCGTGGTTTGAAAACCCCGGTAGGTATGTGTCGGGGGAAGGAGCATTCGACACAGGCTTTCCAATTTCTGAGTCAACGCTGCCCGGAGGCAGGAGGGTCAGCTCCCAGGTAGACGTCTGACCCCCAGACACCAGAGGGAACCTTCCCTCCACTCCCATTCCACATTCAGGCCCCTTCCCCCTCTGAGTCCTAGGACTCAGGTAAAGATCACGCCTGCCTCCCATGCCCTTTCGAAACTCTCAAACCCCGTCTCTGGCGGTTGCTAATTGCCTGGATCCCTGGGTGCTGAACACCCCATCATACACACACTGCATTCACAGTGAAGACGTGGAGTGACCATCAAGGAATAAGAGGACCGAGAGTGGCCTGGGTTGGGGTGCCCACTCCACCCCATAAGTTGCTATAAGAAGTAAGTGACATGATGCTGGTGATGTTTGGCTCATGGTCATGTTCAAGAAATCCCAGCTATGGTCATTATTCTACATGAATGACACCGACATGAACTAGTTATGGCGGGTGTGTAAGGGAAGACTCGGGAAGGCACCCCTTCCTATCACGGCCCCATTTCACAGATGAGGAAGCCAAAGTCCAGGCAAGCGCTCAGAGCCTGTCCGCATTCGGGGGTTGGGCAGGAGAGGGGACAGACGGGGAGGGGAGGATCGCAGGGATTCCTCGGGGACCTGGGAAGCAAGAGAGTGGCCTGCAGGGAGGCACCTGTGGGAGTGAGGGGTGGAGCCCAAAACAGCAGCCCCCTGGTGAGGGGCGGGGACAAAGGGGACATCTGTAATACTTTCAACAATAAAGACAAATGAAAAATAAAATAAAAGCAGCAGCCCCTACTTGAGATGGCCCGTGGGGCTTGCAGGCGGGACGATGGGAGGCAGGGGGTGGAACCTACACAAGGCAGGCCCGCGGGGAAAGGGTCCAGCGGTCCTTAGAGCCTGGGACTCGGGAAGGGGGTGTGGAGGAGACGGGTCTGAAGCGAAAGAGGGGGCTGAGGGGGTAAGATGGGGGGCTTTGAGGAGAAAGGACCGAGGGGAGGGGCTCTTCAAAGTGAGAGGCCGATGGGAGGGAGCTGGGGACTAGGAAGGCGGGGTTGGAGGGAGCGAGGGACCGGCTTGGAGTAGAGGAGAGCGGGGCGAGGGCCGTGGGGTGCGTGCGGGGGGCGTCCGGCGGGTGATGTAGAACTTCTTACCGGTCTCTGGTGTCGCAGCCTCGGCCCCTGCGTCGGATCGGCTCATGGAACTGCCCCCGGCGCGCCCGCAGCTTCGGGGAATCCCAGCCAACTCAACCCAGGAGCCCCGACCGCTGCCATGGCAACGGCGTCGGGCACGCGCCACTCCGGGGGGGGGACCGGAAATGACGTCAGCGTAAAGGGGCGGGCCTGGAAGTGCGTCAGCCTGGCCTCCCGGTTGACGGCTCGCTCGGCTGCCGCCATCTTGCGGACTTGTGGTAGCGCCGCTGCGGGGGAACCGCTCTGAGGCCGCACCGCTCACCCACACCGAGGCGGCCTGGCAGCCCTGAGCGTCGCAGTCATGCCGGCGGGACCCGTGCAGGCGGTGCCTCCGCCGCCTCCCGTGGCCACCGAGCCCAAACAGGTATCGCGCCCCCCTCCCGGGGACCGGCAGCCCGGGCCTAGGCCTAGGCGCGCCTCACTTTTGCTGGAAGTAGCGGCCGCTTAGGAGGCCTTGGAAGGACTACAAGTCCCAGGAGGCAGCGCGCTGGAGCCGTGGTTCTCAGAGTGAGGTCCGCGGACCGGCAGCTTCAGGGTCCGCTGGGAGTTATTAGAAATGCGAGTCTCTGTAAAGCACAGCATAGGAAATATAGTCAGTGATGTTGTAATATGTATGGTGCCAGGTGGAAATATGGGGGGGGGGACACTTTGTAAAGTATATGAGTATCTAGCCGCTATGCTATACACCTGAAACTAATACAAAATAATATTGAATGCAGACTGTAATTGAAACACTAAATTAAAAAAATTAAAATGTGAATAAACAAAAAAAGGAAGAAATACACCTCAGCTCTTCTAATAGAAATCTGCATTTTTAACAAGATCCCAAGGTGATTCATTGAAGTTTGGGAAAAACACCGATCCCGTGCATCTACTGTGGCAATTGGGCCCCCCGGCCCCCAGTAATTTGCCCAGTAATTTCTAATTTCCCAGCCTGCAGGGTTACAGCTTTGAATGTTAATTCTCCTGCAGCCACTCAGTACTCAGTCTAAGCCAGACACGGAGCCTGGGTCCCACGTTACAGCTGCTGCCTTGGAGAGCTTGCTCGTAAGCTAGTAAGGAGCCGGGTACCCGTGAATATTCCACAAGTGTGTATTGCTCAAAGGGCCAGTTAAGCTCTCTAGTCCTCAGTTTTCTCATCTGTGAAATGGGGATAATCAAGTTACCTACCTCATAGGACTCTCGTAAGGGTGATACAAGTTAATGTATGTAAAGTGTATGGCACCTCTTCTGTTGTCACTGAATTTGGAGGCTGAGGGGGGAGGAGGAGGAGGAGGAGGACCACGTTTCTGGCCTGGTTGACCAGGTGCCTGTCTGGCCATTCACGAGAAAAGCCGTTACAGATGACAAAAGTGCCCGGGAATCAATCGATCTGAAGCTCCGGCACGCAGCGTGATCGGGGCATCCATGTGGGTGGGATTGTTCAGGCTGGAGGTGGCTGTGGGTGCCTGCGGACGGAGTGAAGACGGTGAAAAGAACCCAGAACAGGAGTTTGGGGGTGCCCAACATGATAGAGCAGGAGGTGAAACGGAAACCTGGAAGGTTTCTTGCGGGGCACGGTGAGCAAGAAGGGAGGACGGGTGAGAATGGGGCCTGGGAGTTGGGCGGAGAGCTTTGTGAAGGAGTGGGCATTGGTCACACAGCCAGACGGCCGCTGCACTTCGCCGTAGGCAGAGGCTTTGACTTTGGCAAAAACACTTGAAATGGATGGGGACCAAGTGGGGGGTGAGGAAGTGGGGACCAAGGCTGGGAGAACTCAGGATGTTTGGCAGAGGAAGAGGGGTGGGGGAGAAGGCAGTAGGAGGAAGGAACATGAGGGTAGGGGAGAGACTTTATTTTTCTGAGATGAGAGACTTGACCCTTCGTTTACTAAAGAAAGACCAGCGAGGAAAGACTATTGGAACTGACGGGGAGTTAATGCTGAGTGTTCAGTGCAGTTTCACAGCACATTTGAGCGTTGACTGGTAGTTAAGACTGTGGAGTGGATGCAGAGAGAAAAGGCTTTAAGGCAGAAGGAGCTGCCCCGAAGGAGTTCCCTTTGTATTTGTTTATTCAGCAAACAAATACAAATTTGTTTATTCACTAAATATCCCATGCCAGGCACATCGCTTGCTCTGGAACACGGACCCATGTTCTGGATTCTGGAACGTGGCTTCTCAGAATGTGGTCCGAGACCTGCATCTGAGTCACCTGGGCACTTAGTAGAAATGCAGACCCCTGGTGTCATGGACACAGTCTAGCTCAGCGGTCACCAACCGGTGGTCCACGAGGTCCGAAAGGTTGGCGACCGCTGGTCTAGCTGGTGGAGCCAGGAGGGTCCCTCGCAAGCACAGTGCAGGTAAAGGAACCCTCTTCTGGAGCAGAGGGTTCTGACCCGAAGGAAGTCCGAGGGAGAGCCTGGTGCTCAGGTATGTCCAGCCCCAGACCGGGATCTTGAAGACTTTATTTCCTTTTCTCACAGCCCACAGAAGAGGATGCGTCTTCAAAGGAGGACTCCACCCCTTCCAAGCCCGTGGTGGGGATCATTTACCCGCCTCCAGAGGTCAGGAATATCGTGGACAAGACTGCCAGCTTCGTGGCCAGGTAACCTAGCTCTTCTGCTCCCTGGCTTACACGTGGATTTTTAGCGCCAAGAGCTCTTGAGTCCACACAGGTTAACACTAGGTTTTAGAGAGGTGTTGTCAGGCCGGACTCCACTGACATTAATGGTCAATGCACCTTTGAAAGCACAAGTCATCTGAGCAATTAGTTCACCTGCCAGGGACACAGGCCACAGGTTGATCCCTATAGAGAGGCGCTCTCAGTGTAGGCCCATTGGCTCATCTAAAAGCACAGCGTGGCGGTGAGGTGGGTAGTGGTCAGGACTGGCCTCTGACATAGTGTGGCAGTGGCGGAGTGTGAGTCACACAGGCCCCAGAGTCACCAGGAACCTGTGTTTCCACAACAGCCCTGAGGACATGTCTGGAAAGCCGCTTTGTCACCCGTAGTAAGTGTGTCTCTGTCTAAGCCACTGGCCTGAGGAAGACAAAAAGGGGTTGATCATTCTCATTGTGCGAGGACCGCATTCCTGAGAGCCTCCGATGACCCCTCTGCAGAAGGGAAGGGAATGAGACGCCCCTCAGGGTTGTTGTGAGGCAGGCGTGAGATAGTGAGAGAGGGGGACAGAACCGTTCGGGTGCCTCATGCAGGTGTCAGCTGTCTTCTCAGGTGGCGTGGAAGGCAGTCCGAGTCCTCGAGTCCCTCCCCATCATACACACACTCACACGTCCTCTGATGGAATCCTCTTGATGGCCACGTGACCCCAGAGGTCAACACGTCCCCTAGTTTAGGGTCTTTAAAGTATTCCTTCAGCAGCCAGCAGGCCCCATCCAGTCTACAGACTTTTGTTTGTCTTTGCAATTTTTTTTGTACTCAAGTTACTTAAAAATGAAATGGCACAATAAATCTGGACAGCTCCTTGCATGGAAGCTCAGCTGGTCCTGAGCAGACTGCTGCCCTCAGTCAGGGCATTTGCTGGATACAATATCTACTTCATAGATGTATTCCTTTCCCATCCTGCTAGGGAAATGAAACGGGAGGGAGTCTCTGTGTGGCCGGTGCCATGCAGCTTGGTCTCATCACATTCCAGGGGCTTTGATGAACCTGGGTATTGGGTTAAAGCTGTTCTGTGCTGGATTGAACATCATCAGCCCCTGTCAGGTTTAAGACAGCAGGCCGTGTATCCGTAATAAATGTTTATAATGTCTCCGAGCAACACGCCTGCTTCCCCTTCTCCCCTCATATTTTAAACCCAAATGGGAAAGGGGTGTTGGAGGAAGAATCGACATAACCTCGCTACCAGATCGTTTCTGCCAGCCGTTTTCACTTTTTCCTGTTTCCTTCTGGCCCTCAGGTCCTTTTTTAGATCCTTGTAATAGCAGCAGAGGTACTTTCACATCCTGCTTTTCCCCTAGCGCTTGTTATAAGCGTTTCCCATGTTGCTTCGTGGTCTGGTGCTGCGTGGGCCGCTCGGGAGACGCTGCACCGAGTTGAGGCAATGGGCCTTCCTTGACTCGCCGTCTCTATCTTTTCCTTTGACGTTGTTTCCAACATTTCAGTTTGGCAAGTGAAGCTGCGGGGAAGTCTCCGAGCATTTACTTTCCTGTTTAGATTGTTTCTTTAGAAGGAAATAGTGTGGCTGAAGGAGGATTTTAAAGATTTCTTAAACACTTTGCCAAGTAGCTTTCCAATAATTTTGTGTCAACCTCTTCTGCCACAGAAGTCAGAGTGTGTCCAAGTTCCCTTAAAAATAATAAATCTATACACCCACATCTCTAGATCTGTTGTTGGCTAGATGTTGCCTTGTAGGCATTTCTGAAATCTCTGCACATGCTTTTGTTGACATTGCAATGAAGGGACGACTAGCATTTCAGTCTGGAATACAGCAAACATGCAGGACCCTTCATTTCACGCGTACTGATGGATGGAGCAGAGCATACCGTAAAGATCACCAACCAATATGGTTTTCCAAAAGAAGTTGTGTGTGTTTTTTTGTAGGTTAGGTCTCCCTTCTCTGCATTTTCCTTTCAAGGAACTGAAGTGGAAATTACCTTTAAAACTCCCACCAGCTGGGTTGAGTCAGAATCCTGTCTTCTTCTGTTGAAATCTGTTTCTTTTGTGAGAGAATACAATTTTAACATTAAATTAGTTTAAAGCAACAGAAGAGCTGAGAATAAACATGGCTGCCTTTTCACTGTTTTAATCTGTCAATTGTTCCCAGATGTGGCGAGGTTATGGCTTCAGAAGCCGCGATAGAGGAGACAATCAGAGCCCCCTGTCCAGCCGCCCCTTATCTGCCCGGCGTCCGCTGGGGGTGGTGGCCTCGTTGTGGCAGTGTTTGCATTCACTCCCCTCCTTGTGTGTGGTTTGCCTTGTGTAAGGAGGGGGACAGAAGCTTCTCCTCAAGCGGGAGGTTCTAGTTGTACTAATTCACTGTCAGATTAGACCTCATGGTGTCAGTCACGCGACGGAGTGTGACCAGAACTTGTGGAGGAGCTGGCCTGGGTGTTGCCCCGACCCTGGCACAGATGGTTATGGTGGCTCATCGGGAGCACAGCATCGCCCGCT